ATTTGGCATGCCATGGCACGCCCGATTTTGAAATACTATTGGCGACGCCATCTATCTTGCGCCACCCACCCTAGTTGCACCTCATCCAGAAATGCCAAAGGATTATATTTCACATAGCCCTTTTTGGGAACGCACAGGATTTAAGGGTATAGATTCCAATGCTATGGTTTTGTAATAGATGACATTATTATTTGAACTAAAGAATTTTTGTAGATCCTTATTCGGCTCAAGAACAAGAAATATTTGAAAAGTGTGATCATGAGTGTGCTGATGAAATACATAGGCCAACAAGAGGATCAAATGTTGTACCTAACAGATCATTTTGTGAATTACCATTGTTTCATGCACCTCTTAAATTATCTGATGCACCACCAAATGGTATTGGATATATTTCTCTTGGTGGACATCATTTTAAATGTGATAACCCTGCAAAACGAGAGGGTACATTCCATATTATCTTTACAATTGATCGATCTAGTTCTATGAGTAGTAGTGATAAGAAACCAGTACCAAATACTCCAGTTTATAATCTTTTAAAAACTAACCATGACAACAGAACAGGTGCAGTATATAGTGCTGTAAGTATTTGGCTTTTCCTTTTTTTTTTTTTTGGTTGTTTGTTTTTATTAATTTTTAAATTTTTTCATATAATGCGAAAGGTTTATTCGTTTATGGAAACAAGGCTATCTGCACAAGCAAGGTCGAAATCTACTAATAAGGATACAATATCGCTGATTCTTTTCGATCATGAAGTCATTGTACCATTCGAGAATCATATACTAACAGACTTGATGCTAAATCAGATGCTACCACATAAGGCAAGAGGTGAACTAACTTTAATATTGCGATTCAAAAAGTAGGAAGCTTAATTAATAACTATTTTGATCCAGCAAGGTATTTGAGCTTATATGTTATCAATTGTTGTACTCTCTTAAACCATTGCTTAAAAAAATTCTTAAAAATTTTAGAGCAAATGTAATTATATTTCTTTCTGATGGTGAATGTAGTACACCGAAAGGTCAACTTGAACAAATTTGTAAATATAATAGTGATAAAGGGTAAATAAATTTTACAAATAATAATTTTAAAATTATACAGCATTTCTATGTATATCATGCTAACTATTTAATAACCTAAACCAGAAATCCATTGTATCTTATAACAGTCTTATTTGCTGGTGGAAATGATAGTCCTTCCTTAAGAGAAATGGCTGAGATTGCAAGTCGATATCATCCAGCAAACACTATTGGAAATGCTTTGCGTTGTCAATTCACTAGTGTTATGACTGAGATTAATTTAGTCAATACATTTACTAGTGTTGCAGAAAGCTTGAGAGTACATAATCCTTCATTGATGAAAAAACTTTAGCTTATTTTACACGATGTTGTTTTTTTTTTTTAAATTGCTTAGTTTGTTTATATTTAACGAGTTTATTGAAAATTTATGTAATAAGATTTATTAATATTTTAAAATTGAATTTAAAAACCTAAATCGTTCTATTTTCATCTGAATTTAATATGCTCTGTTGAAAAATGGCCTTTCTCGAATATTAGCAGAATATTTTGCTTCAATTTTAATAATAATAATAATAATAATAAATAGTTATTGGATGTGTAGCATTCAATAACAGTTTTACTGGTGCGATGGGTGGCGCATTTGCTCCACCCATCTTATTTAGTGTTTTTTTTTAAAAAAATTTATTAGTGTTGAAAATTCTATTACAGAACTTGTCATTTATTGCAATACACATAGTATGTGTTAAATTTGAATATTCATGACTTTACGGTATGGTATACAAAGTAGTTAAAATTATAATAATACAACAAAAATTATTGTAAAAAAATTCTGTCACAGAACTTACTCGTTATTCAGTTACCACAATATGTGGTTAAAGTTGATTTAGTTGCATTAGAATTATCGTGTTTTTATTATAATTTACTGTAAAGAATTCTGTAACAGAATTTACTTGCTATTCATTATACGATGTAGTCAGTTTAATTAGTATCGGGATTATTGTGAATTATCGTGATTTCTACGTATGAAATGGTTACAGAACTTACTCGTTATCATAAAAAACTCTGTTACAGAACTTGTTCACTAAAGCGGTACATATGGCAGTTTGAGTTAGTGTTGGAGTTATCGTAATTTCTACTAAGTTTCTGTAAAAAAATTCTGTTACAGAATCACTTAGTTTCGAGTGACCAGAGTTTTTGGAACTCTGGACTACAACACGAGCTTAACAATATAATACCATGAATTAATATTGAGCATTTGTTAACCAGGAATCACAGAGTAAAGTACTTAATTCTACAACTCATTGTTGCTTTAATGAAACAAACAACATTGCCTTCCATATATGTTAAAAATTTATTTCTTTCAAAATTCTTAAATTTAATAAAGGTTTAAAATTATGATTTTTTCGAGGAACAGTTGCAAAATCGGCCATTACCAAAATTACCATGTAAGTAAGCATTCCAAACTTAGGATCCTTAAAGCGGGCAGATTATGCGACATAACGTTATTTCACACTTCAGCACTTGTTTACTTCATTAGGTGATCCGGGTTTCACAAATTTTACTGATTTGATTGTTTCACCCTATTTCTGAAGCTATAAATCCAACGAATGTACACATGAAGTACGCACGTACAATACATTCTCAATATGATAACGTTACCGAATGAATGCTACTATTCAATATTTAATAACCTCCAGAATAATCATAAAAACCTGTTTTCATGTTCGCTTGTAAACCGTCAATGGTGTAGAATTACTATACCAATTTTGTGGAGCGAACCGGAACACCATTTTAAAAATTCAATACTTATGAGAATATTTCTTTTATCGTTAAATGCAGAAGAGCAATCTCTATTAACTCCTTTTGAAATTACCATTCCAAGTCATCCAAAACCACTATTTGAATATACAAGTTATATCACATCCGTTAGTAATGATTTTTATGATGGTGTTAGTGATTGGCTTAATTGTAAAAAGTACGACGAAAGACATGAGCTTGAAAATGCTACTATATATTCTTTAATCACAATGTTTCTACGAACTAGTAAGAATCTTAAACATTTAAGTCTTAATAGACTTATTTGCAACCAAATAATATTTGAAAAACTTCATGAGAACACTACTATTACCTCAATGAATTTATATAAAATCAATGATGATTTTAAGTCTAAGGCAATGGATGCATTAGTAAATATCCTTTATATGAACTATACTTTGATTTCCTTAAATCTTGAATCTAATAAATTTGGATCTGAAGGAGTGAAAATATTATTAAAGGCCCTTTATAAAAACGCTGTTATAAATTCTTTAAATCTTAGTTATAATCAGATTGGTAATGAAGAGGGGAAGGAACTAGCAAAGATTCTTAACAAGAACAATGCCTTGAAATATTTGAACCTTTATTCGAATAATCTTGGATCAGAAGGCGTAAGATCATTAGCTAATGCACTTTGCAAAAACACCACATTGATTTCTCTAAATCTTGGTTCTAATTACATTGAGTCAGAAGGAGGAAAAGCATTAACAGATGCACTTTGTAAGAACTCCACGCTGACTTCTTTGAATCTTGCTAATAATCTCCTTGAGTCGGAAGTAGGAAAAGCATTAGCAAATGCACTTTGCAAAAACATCACATTGACTTCTCTGGATCTTAGTAAAAATAATTTTGGATTAGAAGGAGGAAAAGCATTAGCTGATGCACTTTGCACGAACACCTCGCTAATTTTTTTAAATCTTGCTTATAATTATCTTGGATCAGAAGTAGTGATGGCACTAGCAGACGCGCTTTGTTATAACACCTCACTAACTTCTTTGAATCTTCAATATAATAGTCTTGGATTAAACGGAGGATATGTTATAGCAAATGCACTTAGCAAGAATAACACACTAAAAAATTTAGATCTTCGAAACAATAATCTTAGAGGATACGCATTATTAGAAGCACTTTGCAAGAACACCATGCTAAAATATTTATATCTTCAAGACACTGACCTTGAAAGAAGAGAAACATTAGTAGATCCACTTTACAAGAACACCGTGTTGACTTATTTGAATCTTCGGTCAAATGGACTTAAATCAAATGATGGAAAATTATTAGCAGATGCACTTTGTAAAATCACCACGCTTACTTCTTTGGATCTTGATGATAATGATCTTGGATCAGAAGGAGGAAAAGCATTGGCGGATGCACTTTGCAAGAACTCTACGCTGACTTCTTTGAATCTTTCTAATAATGATCTTGAATCAGAAGGAGGAAAAGCATTAGCTGATGCACTTTGCAAGAACTCCACCCTGACTTCCTTGAATCTTTATTATAATAATCTTGGATCAGAAGGAGGAAAAGCATTAGCAAATGCACTTTGCAAGAACTCCACGCTGACTTCTTTGAATCTTCGTTATAATAAACTTAGATCAGAAGGAGCCAAAGCATTGGCAAATGCACTTTGCAAGAACAACTCGCTGACTTCCCTGGACCTTGGTGTGAATTATATTGGATCAGAAGGAGGAAAAGCATTAGCTGATGCACTTTGCAAGAACTCCACGCTGACTTCTTTGAATCTTCCTGATAATAAACTTGGATCAGAAGGAGGAAGAGCATTAGCTGATGCACTTTGTAAGAACTCCACGCTGACCTTTTTGAATCTTCATTATAATAATCTTGGATCAGAAGTAGGAAAAGCATTAGCAAATGCACTTTGCAAGAACATTTTGCTGATTTCATTGAATATTCGATTTAATTATCTTGGAGCAGAAGGAGGAAAAGCATTAGCTGATGCACTTTGTAAGAACTCCACACTGACTTCTCTGGACCTTGGTATGAATGATCTTGGATCAGAAGGAGGAAAAGCATTAGCAAATACACTTTGCAAAAACTCCACGCTGACTTCTTTGAATCTTCACTATACTAAACTTGGATTAGAAGGAGGAAAAGCATTAGCAAATGCAATTTGTAAGAACATCTCGCTGACTTTTCTGGACCTTGGTGTGAATGATATTGGATCAAGAGGTGGAAAAGCATTAGCTAATGCACTTTGCAAGAATTCTACGCTAACCTCCTTGAATCTTCATAATAATAAACTTGGATCAGGGGGAGGAAAAGCATTAGCAAATGCACTTTGTAAGAACAACTCGCTGACTTCACTAGATCTTAGTGCGAATGATATTGGATCAAGAGGTGGAAAAGCATTAGCTAATGCACTTTGCAAGAACTCCACTCTGACTTCTTTGAATCTTTCTGATAATAAACTTGAATCAAAAGAAGGAAAAGCATTAGCTGATGCACTTTGTAAAAACTCTACACTGACTTCATTGAATCTTTATAATAATAAATTTGGATCAGAAGGAGGAAAAGAATTAGCAAATGCACTTTGCAAGAACATCTCGCTAATTTCATTGAATCTTCGATTTAATGATATTGGATCAAAAGGAGGAAAAGCATTAGCTGATGCACTTTGCAAGAACTCCACACTGACTTCTTTGAATCTTTCTAATAACCGACTTGGATCAGAAGGAGGAAAAGCATTAGCTGATGCACTTTGTAAAAACACTACGTTAAAAGATTTGAACCTTATCAGGAATAATCTTGCTACTAAATTAACGACAAATAATCCAAATCTTAAATTAGAACAATAAATTAATCTATAAATATGATAGAGTATAGTTTTCGTAAAATCTTACTTAAATCATATATTATAGTCAAGTTTACTAAAATGCACCTATGGTGTTGTACACCATAAGGCTATTTCTTAAAAACGCACTAAGTAATTAGGATCGGGGATTATAAGTAAAAATGTTCAGGACCCTGAAAACCTCACGAGAACTGAAATCGTGACCTTATATCTAATATACATTATGTTATATAAAACCCCTGCTTTATCCTAAAACTGCACCCTAATCCTAAATTTTATTAATTAAAGTTATATATGGTGTTCAACACCATAGATACATTTTATAATTTTTGTATTATAATTATTAAAAATCTATTATTAAAATTCTATTATAACATATAATTTATTTGTTGCTTACATTTATTGCTTATATTTGTTATTTATGCAGTCAACCTCCTATATAATCACACGTTTTTTATTAAGAACTTTTTTTTAAAAAAACGTGCTTATAAAAAGTTAAATTTATATAGAGGTGGTTGTTCATAGCTTAACAGTAATTTGTCTTTGTTTACAGAATATAATAAAGAGAGTTTTTATATGATGTGATAAAGGAGGTGATTGTATAGAGGTACGACTGTATTTGTTCTCCGTGAGTACTTAAAATTATATCCAATTTAATTCATACCACAAAAGAGAGTGTGAGAAAATTTATATACTGAAGCCTTTCGTTCATTAATTTTTAATTA